ACCGGTATGCATGACAACACACTGAACTCTTAATGAAGCTGAAACACAAGTTGACAGGGAAAGTATATGAAGCACTTGGGTTGAACACAAATATAGCTAAAACACTAGGCATAACAACATAGTTACTCTTAATTCTTAGCTCAGTAGCCTATAACTGATGGTGAATTTCATTCTTTGAAGAATTGAAAATGAAATGATAGATTATGATGCAACCCCAATTTCTTCATTCATTCCACAACTGTTTGTCCCCCCACATTTTGGCTAGTTACTTCAAGCAGAAAACCTTTTTCAATATGACCAAGTAAAGTGTCTTGTGTACCTTCTTTAGAATGTAATGCTACTTTTACAAAGGCAAATAAAAATGATGTGTAAGAAACCAAGTAAAATAATCAGATAAATATCTGGGCCTGACCAGGAATTGAACCTGGGACCTCCTCAAATGGTTGATATCCCTAACAAGGAATCATACTACTAGACCATCAGGCCATACAAAACACTTCAAGATGTAAATTGTTGACAACTCTGTCAAAGCTCATCAAATTATGTAGTTACAGGCTACAAACCATGCCTTTAGATGGGAGCTCCACTGATAAGACCCAGGTTGTATCAGAAGAAGTACTGATGTTTTGACTGGCACAGCTGTGTGGACTAGTGGTTAGCGTGACCTCTGGTTTATCTGGTGTCCTCCCAAAATCCTGGGACAAACACTTAGCGTTGATAACACCCAAAATTGTACCAAGTGGTGTCTGGGTAGGCAGTCACAAGGCATATAGCATCAGGCTCGCTAGTTGGGGTGAGCTGGGCAGGGTTCCAGAAGACAGGTTAGTGGAGAACAGCGGTAAGGAAGTGGTGAGGGTAAGCTTAGTGTAGTCACCAAGCATAAGGTGCTTGCTGCAGTTGCAAGGCATATGAATGGCTAGTACACCAGCGTAATCCCAGTGGCGAGACAAAGACACTGTACGGAAGTGCTCTTGGCATAGAGTAAACTTATAAGAGGTGAAATTGAGCTCTGAAGCCCAAGCATAAGAGGTAACGGTGAAGGTAACTTGTTATTTGCAGGCTATAAGTACAGTATA